AATTCATTAATTATGATTTGGTAGTAGTTATTTTTAAACCCTATAGTTGAAGGGTAAAGTCAGAATCTATAAATAGTTCATGTACTAAAAATATTTTACAACAAGTAAAGGCTTCTTACTAATGGAGGTATCTTATGTGTATATAAACTCATGTCCATCTCTTATTTTATCCAACCAATGTGGGACTTTGTTTGTACCCAACAATATATACCCTTATGAGTTGAAATTCCTCCACAAAAATCAGAAGAGAAGAGGTTAAGTGTTTCATATCAAGAAACATGATTTCTTTTTCTTGATATAGTTATTAGATATATCATATTTTTTACCGCCAACTACAGTGAACGTTGTATTGTCAAATTGTAATTTTCATCTATGTTCTCTCTCTTTATTCTCTTTATCTTATAGAAAGTTAAGAAATCAATATTTGATGTTTTTCAACTTCAGTGCTTTCAAAGGAAGGGAGGTAGGGAATGAGAAGTTGATTGGGATTATTGATCTACAAAACATTTCATATAAAAACATTGATGCACGTGGGTTGATCACAGGATTTCAATTTTTACAGGTAATTTTCATTTTATTTTTCCTTGAAATTTGCATGCATATCATATCATAAATGCCAATCTGTAAAATCAGACTTTGGCTTTATTGAAATTTTGTTCAAAATCCCTGTTCATATCATGTCTGAATTGGCACCAATATAGTGTGGCATTTTATAAACATTTATTTGAAAGATGAATAGAGGATAAATTTTAATTTGTTTTTACGTTTTTGGTTGAACTGCAGAGTTACTACCCTGAACGTTTGGCAAAGTGCTATATTTTGCACATGCCATGGTTTTTTGTGAGTGTTTGGAAACTAGTTTCTCGCTTCCTAGAGAAGGCTACCCTAGAAAAGGTACTTACTATCTTAAGAGCAAACTTTATGCTTGTGCACAGTTGTCATTCATTGGCTACATGCATCGCGTCTTTTCTAATCTCCACTCCCCATTCTAATTTTGTGATTCTTATAGTTTAATCCTGTTTATGAACTAAAGTAAAATCAGGCTTCCTAAATTGACTAAGATTCTGGTTTGCATCTCGTTTATTCAGTTTAATTTTATCTATATTATTGGTTAGTGTGAAATCTCTAATTCATCTTCCAATAAAGAAAGAAAAGTTCCTTTGGTAGATCCAAATCGATTAGAGATAAGATCAAATTATAATAATATATAAGTGAGTACAAATTTCATCTTATTAATTAGTTGTAAAGATTGTAAAAGGAAACAGAAGCAATAGGGAAAGAGAGAAAGCTGATAGAAGCACAACAAAAGATTATAAAGACCCTTATAAGTCATACAACTGCATGAGAAAGACGTTATATCAGATTACGTAATATCCCCCGTAAACTATGAGGGGAGGATCCACCATGAGTTTAGAGAAAAATTCGGAAAAAGAACCAGTGTATCAGATTTACCATAAAACCTAAAGCTAGAAAAGAAGAGAAAGTTGAAACATAGAAAAGGTAAAACTTTATTGAATGTTGTTCCTCTGAAAAGATGGTCCAAGAGTTTATATAACAGGCAAAGATTAAACAAAAACCAAGTAAAAGCTAACAAGACTTAACTAAACTAGTTAAAAACTAACTTGATAAAACATAATAAACACATATGATAAAAGCCCCCCTCAAGTTGGAGAGAAAATGTTTTTGAGGGCCAACTTGCAGATGAGAACTTGAAACTTATGTGATGGGAGGGCTTTGGTGAAAACGTCCGCTATTTGTTGATGAGATTTCACATGAAAGAGGCGTAGTGAGAACCCAGACTCGACGTGTTGTCCAACAAAATGGACATCAATGTCAATATGCTTTTATCTTTGATGGGAGACAGGGTTAGTGGAAAGGTGAATAGCAGAGATATTATCACATAGCAGCAAGACCATATGAGGTTGATGTTGGAAGAAGCGTAGGAGTTGTTTAAGCCATAGCAGTTCTGAGTGATGGAAGCAATAACTCTATACTAAGCTTCTGTAGAAGATCTGGATACATTACTTCCATGAATATGCTAAAAATATCAATTTCTAACCAATGAGCACAGTGGGCTCAGCCCGAGGACTGAATTTGTGTCTATCATGATTCTGTGTATTAGCATAACATAAAGAGCCAAAAATTTTAAAGTGGGTATAGTCGGGAGAGTGTTGAAAAAGAATATGATAAGGACTGTGATTTTTCAAATTAGAAGTGGGAATCCTATTGATAATGTAAGTAGCAGTCAAAACACAATCTCCCCAAAAAACTATAGGCATTTTGGACTGAAACAGTAAAGATCTAGCCACATTTAAGAGATGCTGATGCTTCCTTTCCACAACAGAATTTTGTTTTGGTGTACAGGGACATGAAAATTGATGCAGGGTTCCTTTAGAAGCTAAAAAATCAGTAAGTAAGAAAACCTTTGCATTATCACTTCTTATGCAAACAGAAGCTTGGTTTTTCGATTTTAATAAGAAAATCCATGCGAATCTTCTGTGATCATCAAATATGGTAAGAAAAAGTCTATGATCGAAAGTTCCGTTGTATTTTCCATTCTTATAATTTTGGTCAAAGTATTGTTTTTTCAATTAATTGGCTTCAGTGAGTTGCACCGATTTATCATTTAGCTTGTTTAGATTCGTGGTAGGAATCCACGTTGGGAATAAAATCGTGGTGAAATGAAGGCGAAGGTAACTATTTGTTACTTTAGAGCATGGTAAGAATCCACTTAGAGTCTGTCTGGAAAGTCTGAATTGTCCAATTTTTAAAGATTGTACATTTTTAAAGATTGTCCATATATGTTTGAGTTTTGATTATAAACTTCTGAATAATTTAGTCTTAATCTATATTTACAGAGGTGTAGGAAAAAATGTGGAGGTAGTAAATAAAATATCTACTAGCAAAATGAGATTCAATCAGCTTTTTTTTTGAAGTTATCAATGAATAAAAGAAACAGATATATCTTATTATTTATTTATTTATTTTTTCAATTTGATTTTTGTTAATAAAAGGTTGTTTCTCAATTTTTAAACAATATCATCCTTTCAAAGTTCCATTAATATTTTTATAATTTAAAAATGACAATGAAAGAATTAGTTTTAAACAGTCGCTTTATTTTGATAATAAATTATCTTATTAAAAATATCAACATTTGCTCACAATTTTATCATTAATTGGGTAAGTATGCTTACATTGTTGTTTTAAATAAATAAATGATTTGATTGAATCTTTTATTAAAATTGGGATCGATATAATAAATAAATAAATGAGACTCAGAAACTACATAATATATTTTAAAAAATCAATAGGTTTTAGTTACCATCATTTAAACTTTGTGTTGATTGCATTTTGACATGAAAATATAAATATGATCCATCTGACATATATTTATACATTTCTTTTCTATCTACTTAATAAAAACGATAAATGTTAGGAAATTCTTCTATTCTTTAAATTTACCTTTTCTTTATTGGCTAACATTGTTAAAATTTATTACTATGAATAATGTGTTAGAAGGTAGTTAACATCATGATAATTATTGAATCACACTGGTCATAATATCTTGTATTACTATAAAAATTTTATTAAATCACGTCAATAGTTGATAGGATGACACTCGTATTTTTTTTGAAAATATATTATTTAAAATAAAATATTATTGAGGATGAAGTTGTATTTATGGAGAACTAACAAAAAATTCCGTACTTTAGTTATATGTAAACATTAGCATGTCACTGTTGAACCTTTTGGTGAACACTGTTAGCTAAACTTGTTCGCCAAACTTGTAGTTTGTGTAGACATTGGTTTGGATTTTTTTTGATAAATTTTTAATGTACACAATCTGAAGACTAAAGGTATTTTACTTGTCGACTTTTTGGGCTATCTTTAATCTTCTTTAGCAAGTTAAAATTTACAAAATTCAATTTTTTCTATAAATCTGTCTGGTTCAATTGTTATGTATTATTTAATAGTATAAAATAATGTGTTTTCAAATAAACTTTAATTTTAACAGCTAAGTAATTGATTGTTATTTGATTTTAATTTTTATTCTCATGTTCTTTTTGCAATCAAATAAAGTATCCACTAAAGTATGTAGAGCACATGGTATATAAAATGGAATTGTGGTTCTAAATGTTTCACAGTTTCCAAAAACAACCGTAAATAATTATTTAGAAAAACAAAATTCAACATCCTATTATTTAATTAAGCGTTAAAAATTTCTAAAATATCATTATGTTTCATATGATAATGTAACAAATAAATAACAGATCATATAAGATATAAATGTTTTGTTTTTATATTGAATAATACCATGCAATCTTAGTTTACATCTAATTAAAATGAGAAAGCTATTAGCCGATGATAAAAACATAAGATCTAGAAAGCCTTAAAATCGAATAAAATCTCGATATATTTTAAACAAATAACCCATCTTTAGCTTATGAGTTAGATATTATATTGAGAACTAGAAATTGTGAATTTAATGAAATTTGATGAATTGAAGTGAATTTTATAAGAAATTGAACACTATGCATCTAGGCCCAAAAATGCCTTAAACAATAAAGACACTTAAAAGGGAAAAGTCAAGGTCAAATTTAGAAAAAGTCAAAGTGTGGTATACACAAGTGAAGTACAAAGAATTAATAGTTGTATATTATGATTTCTACACACTAATATATCGAGTATAAATTAGCATAAAGTAAACTTAATACTAATTTCACAATTATATCATAATAATTTTAAAAATACTTTTCTTTTAATATTCCATATAAATGTTTTTAACAGTCAATTAACAACAAAATATACTAAATATAAATTTAGAAGTAATATTATGAAGAGTGATAATTCTACATTATGCGCAAAAAGACAGAACTATATAACTTTCTTAGATCATCCCAATTAAATTCTGATGCAGATTATTTTGTGAGTCTCAATCAATTTCTCGTTAAAATTAAAAAAAAAAAAGAGATATGGCAAACCCAAAGAAAACCATTCAAGGAGAACGTGTCCCCACCAACCAACCCATTTTTCAACAGAATTAACTCTTCTTTCTTCTACTCTTCTTTCTCTTTATATGTTCATGGCACTCTGAAACTCTTGTTGCTCACTTCCAAGATCTTTCCTTTCTTCTCAGTTTGTTCCAACCCCATCACTTTTTCTTTGCCCAAATGGATCAACAAAGAGATTTTGCACTTACCCAGATGAGAAAATCCGTTGAGAAGCTTGGTTCTTCTGCGGAGGTGAGCTCAATCTCTTATTTTTCTTGTGGAACCTACTTAATCTGTTTTCCTAGTTCTACTTGATGCTGTTTATGTTTTTAACTTAATTTTTGGTTAAAATTGGTGTTAGCTCTTATTTTTAATCTTTGAATTTATTTTATAGGATTTCGATTTCCTTCCTCTTTGTGGAACTAAGAATATTAAAGTAGGGGACTAAATTCTTAATCACAAAAAGTACTGAAGTCATTGTTATTTCTTTTACTTAGGAATTTTTAAGAGTCAAGAAGAATTCTTTAATACACAAAAATCTATTTTTGATGAATGTTCTTTCATGAAGTCTTCTAAAACAGTCATTTTTTAAGTCTATTTTCACTTTCCTTTTCATGTAAATCTGAAACTCTTCTCTCCTTTTCACTCTCTCTCTGTGATTCCAAGTATTATATACATTTTGTAGGGGTATGGAGACCATACACTGATTAGGTTTTTGATTGCTCGATCAATGGAAGTGGAAAAAGCTGCAAAAATGTTTGTGCAGTGGCAGAAGTGGAGGAATGCCATGGTTCCTAATGGATTTATTTCAGAATCAGAAATTCCAGATGAACTGGAAGCAAGGAAAATCTTTTTGCAGGGTTTGTCTGGAGATAAATTCCCTCTCATGATTGTTCAAACCAACAGACATTTTTCTGCCAAGGATCAGATTCAATTCAAGAGTAATTCCCTTCCCTTCTCTAAACTATTCAATTCCAACTCTAAATTTTTTATGATAAGAGATTTTAGGATTAATCATGTTTTAGTCTGATAAATATAGATACAATTGCTCATTAGTTTAAACACAAAAATCATGTTCTGTTTCAACTCTGATTGATCTAGTTGGTAGAAATCTTACTGGTAGATAATTTTGCAAGACCTATTGAGTATCCTGGTTTATCCAAATACTGATGAGTCCTCAAATTTATCTTCCTAAATACCACAAAGATTATTGTTTCCTTTTGATAATTTGTTAGAAATGTGCAGTGTATAATGATAAAAAGAAACAATTATTTACAGAATTAAAACATACATTATCCTATTAAAGAGAATGAAGATATAGTTAGGTTAGGCTTTTATTACCATTTTATCTTTATTTTCTATTTAAAAATTTAAATATAACAAATTTATTTTAAAAATAAATACGAGATACAATAAATGTATTTTTTTAACAGAACTTTTCACTGTTTAATGTACTTCTTCATCTCTTGGAGAACCATGATGTATTATAAATAATTTCAGGGTCTTATTATCACCTATCTTCGTTTTCTATTTAAAGCATTAACATAAGAATCTTATTTTAAGATATAAATATAAAATAAATTGTAGTGAAACGTGTTACTGTTTAATGTATTTTTCAGAACTGAAGTGGAAAGTTTGATGCCAATACAGGGAGCTTAAAGATTCCATTTTCATGTGATTTGTCTCGGTGGCAAATATTCTAAAACACTTCATTAATTAATTTTACCAAATTGGTTTTACTTGGTTTTCGTTCTTTGACTTTTTATGTTCAAACTATAGAATTAATTTATTAATCAAGATCCAAATTTCTGGATATGCCACTTAGGAAATGTTATTTTAATTTCTTATCTCCTCTATCATCTTCTTCACGTGCTGGCCATCTCTTTGTCTTATTCTCTCACTGTCAATCTTTAACAAATTCAACTTTTGAATTTTATTATTTAGTTTTATTTAATATTCATAATATTAAATTTTATGATTATCAATACAATGTATTATAAAGATTTTATTAAATTCCAGTTGAAAATTTGACATGATAGAATATTCTTTATAAAGTATAGACTTTAAATTTGTGATTATTCTATTTATAATGCCTTAAATTTGGAAAATGATTATATCAAACATTGAAAGAAGGTTGTGGCATATACAGCTATTTAGTTCAATTTTTTTTAGTTGAAAATTAATTATAGACAGAGAGGTGGTTGTTGATGAAGAGACTTGAATGAACTTGTCCAGTTGTTTTCCAAGTCAAACACTCTCTTGTACCTAAGCATTTATTGGAAACAAACATAAAAAAAGAAATTTTTATAAATAAAATTAACTTATATATAAATTAAAAACCAGATTTTAAAGAAAACTCAACAACTTTTCAAAAAAATTTAATAAGATATAGTGGGTTATAAAGAGTATGTTTCTAACTCTCTCCAATCCTTGTGTACCTATTTTCAGGTCCAATTAATTAATTCACCAAAGTTAAAAGTTTACTCCCTGAGTATTGTCTATGTTTATAGGATTATTTTGGAAGAACTAAGAAATATAATAATAAAATCTTCTAATCTTGTAATAAAATAGTTTTTCACTTTATCCATTTCTCTCTCCATTTAACTCAACAAATACACATGTAAATTATTTAAAAATTGTTCTAAGTTATTAAAGTTAGAAAGAAAGAAACAGATAAAAAGGAGCATTCTTTTTTCAAAATTAAGATAGATGAAAGGAATGGAGTGATTAATTAATATGACGATAAATTTGTTTTCAATTTGTATATTTTGTTCAACATTACCTAATCATTAATGCTCTTCTCACTCTTGAAAAAGTTTATCAATACAACCTGTCAATGATTTTAATCACACACAGCCACCACTTTAATCACACACTGCCAACTATTTAATCACACACAGACACACACTTGTGTGATTATAGAATGTGGTAAAAGAAAAAGAATAAGAAGTCAAGTCACAATACAATGTAATTATAGAATATATTATATTTTCCTTTTCATGTTTCCATATTATTTCTCCATATGGCTATATATATCTGATGATTATCAATTTTGTAATACTTAATTGACTTTTGATTTGGTTATTTATTGGGATTGATAAAATTATTTCACTACCTTCTTTAAAATTTTTAAGTTTGGCTGATTGTTCTATTTTCTTCGTTGATTCAGAATTTGTCATATATATACTGGACAAGACAATTGCAAGGTATGTGATTTTACTAACATGGTGTTTTTATATCATATTTTCTGTACATTATAAATGTTGGGTAAACTTAAATATAGTTAGTTGTATTTAATAGTTCTATCATAATTAATTGTGTTAGGGGATTGCAAAGATTAGGAGTGCTTCCAGTAATGATTATGACATGTAATAGAATTCATTAATTATGATTTGGTAGTAGTTATTTTTAAACCCTATAGTTGAAGGGTAAAGTCAGAATCTATAAATAGTTCATGTACTAAAAATATTTTACAACAAGTAAAGGCTTCTTACTAATGGAGGTATCTTATGTGTATATAAACTCATGTCCATCTCTTATTTTATCCAACCAATGTGGGACTTTGTTTGTACCCAACAATATATACCCTTATGAGTTGAAATTCCTCCACAAAAATCAGAAGAGAAGAGGTTAAGTGTTTCATATCGAGAAACATGATTTCTTTTTCTTGATATAGTTAGATATATCATATTTTTTACCGCCAACTACAGTGAACGTTGTATTGTCAAATTGTAATTTTCATCTATGTTCTCTCTCTTTATTCTCTTTATCTTATAGAAAGTTAAGAAATCAATATTTGATGTTTTTCAACTTCAGTGCTTTCAAAGGAAGGGAGGTAGGGAATGAGAAGTTGATTGGGATTATTGATCTACAAAACATTTCATATAAAAACATTGATGCACGTGGGTTGATCACAGGATTTCAATTTTTACAGGTAATTTTCATTTTATTTTTCCTTGAAATTTGCATGCATATCATATCATAAATGCCAATCTGTAAAATCAGACTTTGGCTTTATTGAAATTTTGTTCAAAATCCCTGTTCATATCATGTCTGAATTGGCACCAATATAGTGTGGCATTTTATAAACATTTATTTGAAAGATGAATAGAGGATAAATTTTAATTTGTTTTTACGTTTTTGGTTGAACTGCAGAGTTACTACCCTGAACGTTTGGCAAAGTGCTATATTTTGCACATGCCATGGTTTTTTGTGAGTGTTTGGAAACTAGTTTCTCGCTTCCTAGAGAAGGCTACCCTAGAAAAGGTACTTACTATCTTAAGAGCAAACTTTATGCTTGTGCACAGTTGTCATTCATTGGCTACATGCATCGCGTCTTTTCTAATCTCCACTCCCCATTCTAATTTTGTGATTCTTATAGTTTAATCCTGTTTATGAACTAAAGAAAAATCAGGATTCCTAAATTGACTAAGATTCTGGTTTGCATCTCGTTTATTCAGTTTAATTTTATCTATATTATTGGTTAGTGTGAAATCTCTAATTCATCTTCCAACAAAGAAAGCAAAGTTCCTTTGGTAGATCCGAAATCGATTAGAGATAAGATCAAATTATAATAATATATAAGTGAGTACAAATTTCATCTTATTAATTAGTTGTAAAGATTGTAAAAGGAAAATGAAGCAACAGGGAAAGAGAGAAAGCTGATAGAAGCACAACAAAAGATTATAAAGACCCTTATAAGTCATACAACTGCATGAGAAAGACGTTATATCAGATTACGTAATATCCCCCGTAAACTATGAGGGGAGGATCCACCATGAGTTTAGAGAAAAATTCGGAAAAAGAACCAGTGTATCAGATTTACCATAAAACCTAAAGCTAGAAAAGAAGAGAAAGTTGAAACATAGAAAAGGTAAAACTTTATTGAATGTTGTTCCTCTGAAAAGAAGGTCCAAGAGTTTATATAACAGGCAAAGATTAAACAAAAACCAAGTAAAAGCTAACAAGACTTAACTAAACTAGTTAAAAACTAACTTGATAAAACATAATAAACACATATGATAAAAGCCCCCCTCAAGTTGGAGAGAAAATGTTTTTGAGGGCCAACTTGCAGATGAGAACTTGAAACTTATGTGATGGGAGGGCTTTGGTGAAAACGTCCGCTATTTGTTGATGAGATTTCACATGAAAGAGGCGTAGTGAGAACCCAGACTCGACGTGTTGTCCAACAAAATGGACATCAATGTCAATATGCTTTTATCTTTGATGGGAGACAGGGTTAGTGGAAAGGTGAATAGCAGAGATATTATCACATAGCAGCAAGACCATATGAGGTTGATGTTGGAAGAAGCGTAGGAGTTGTTTAAGCCATAGCAGTTCTGAGTGATGGAAGCAATAACTCTATACTAAGCTTCTGTAGAAGATCTGGATACATTACTTCCATGAATATACATCTGTGGTGGATTTTCTACTGTTCGAACAGCTTGGCTAAAAATATCAATTTCTAACCAATGAACACAGTGGGCTCAGCCCGAGGACTGAATTTGTGTCTATCATGATTCTGTGTATTAGCATAACATAAAGAGCCAAAAATTTTAAAGTGGGTATAGTCGGGAGAGTGTTGAAAAAGAATATGATAAGGACTGTGATTTTTCAAATTAGAAGTGGGAATCCTATTGATAATGTAAGTAGCAGTCAAAACACAATCTCCCCAAAAAACTATAGGCATTTTGGACTGAAACAGTAAAGATCTAGCCACATTTAAGAGATGCTGATGCTTCCTTTCCACAACAGAATTTTGTTTTGGTGTACAGGGACATGAAAATTGATGCAGGGTTCCTTTAGAAGCTAAAAAATCAGTAAGTAAGAAAACCTTTGCATTATCACTTCTTATGCAAACAGAAGCTTGGTTTTTCGATTTTAATAAGAAAATCCATGCGAATCTTCTGTGATCATCAAATATGGTAAGAAAAAGTCTATGATCATCATAAGTGGTAGTATGGAAAAGTTCCCAAATATCACAGTGGATTAAATCAAAGCATTCATTAGAGAAATGATTATTATGATGAAAAGGAAGACACTTTTGATTATTAGAGAAAAGATTATTATAATAGATTGAGTTAAGTTTAAAGTCTACTTTTTTACATAGTATCAGAATCATGTGAGAATTTATCTTAACAAAATTCATTGTATACGAGATCTAATATTTCACCCAACCCACCTAAGCTTTCATAGAATGATTCTCCTAAAGTTTTTATTAATTGGTATGACCGAAGAATCAACATTCAAGCTTACTTTCTTTAGTACCTAAAATGTGTGGTCTCGGCGTTTTGTTTGGTAGTTTATAGTTGGAATAAGTATCTGAATTTTGTTTGACTTGAGCTTCTCAGTTTAAGGCTTTGGATGGTGAATGCAGGTTGTAATTGTGACCAATGAGGATGAGACAAGAGAGTTTGTAAGAGAGGTTGGTGAAGAGGTTCTTCCAGAAGTATATGGTGGAAAAGCCAAGCTTGTAGCAATCCAAGATGTTGAATTGGAACCACTGCAAAATGGATCAAACTGATAATTAAGGTGATTTGCATCACATGCTGTTATGTCTTGTTGGGCATCTACACAAACTTCTCAATAATGATTTCTTGGAGATAGAAAGAAAAAAGAAATGATTTTTCTAAAATTAAAATTAGTTTATGTATAAATTAGTTTGTAAAAGGATTTTCCACCTTTTTGCTTTTTAAATTATATATAACATAATTTTAACTTATAAAGATAACTTTTATAATTCATTTATTATCCATGGAATCTTGTAGTCCTGTTTTTCTTTATATTGTCTTCGTTAACATTTATTTTATTCCAAATTCAAAAAGTAGTTGCATGTTTGTTATATTTAGAAGCAAAATGTTCCTATTTATTTTCTTTTATATAATATTAGAGGTAATATACCTTAAAATTTAATTAATTTTCTTTTTTTAAATCGAATTTGAAAACATATATTTTTTTTAAAAAGAATTAAACTAAAATTTTAAAAACATATATTTAACTATAAAATTTGTAGGATTAGTTTTGATCCATTAAGTATTGGCCAAAAATCCATGAATTTTGAAAAATAGGGAATAACTTATTAACCAACCATAAAATCAAATGGATAGACTTGATCAAATTTTTTTTAATGAATCGATTAAATGTAGTTATAGATTAACCAAATTGATTATTGAATATATAATGAATAACTATACATAATACAAATAATTGATAATACATAATGAATATAATATGAATTGCACATCCACATAATAAAATGTTGCAGAAATTTTATTTAAAAATATATTATTTTTTAATTAAATTCTTTTGATTTGTCCTTATACAACATGACTTTTTTTTTTATACTTTTTTACTACAATCTCATTATTAAATTAAAAAGGAGAGATGAAATAAAACATCAATTTAAAACTATTAATATTGGAGGACTTATGTACCTATTTGTATATGATATTCTCAATTTTTTAAAATAAATTACTATTAACAAATTTGTTAATAACTAAAGGTTTAACAAGTCTATATAAGAATACATTCATATAAGAAAGACTCACTTCAATTTCTTGTTTTTCAATATATTTTTTTTTTATTATTTGGCTCGTTATTTTCATGTTTACTTTCTTTGTTTTAACATGAAAATATCATTAACAGGTGGATCTTGGTTCGAAGCTGCTATCATTGTTATCCACAACTTCACTTATACTTCAAGTGATAGAAAATCTCACTTTATTGAAGAATTCAATCTAAAGTCGTAGAGTTCCTCACAAAATATTAAATAATTGATTAGTCCCAACAATAAATTAAATTATATAAATATCATGTAATATCTCATAATATTATTAATTTCAAACCTGAATAATTTTTCATGTTTATTTTCTATTTGGAAAATTGATAATAAACATATAAGAAAAAAAAATAGAGTTGCGAAACAAGAGAAAAAAAATTAAGACAATCTCTAAAGATTGAGAAATATTTGTGAGCCTATTTTATAACTTTCCCATGTTAGCAAGTAAGTTTAATATACAAGATAATAATAAAGAAATTCAAATATTGTGCTAAAACTATGAATTACATAATAGTAACCATAAAGTATTATATTAAATCCAAATATATATTGCATGGGTTAACCATACTAAATAATCAAATGCGATTAAAAGAATTAGAAACCTTTATAATATATTGGAACTTAAAAATTTGTTTTAAGTACTTTAAATACACATATATATATGTTTTAAACACACACATACTTTAAATTTGTTTTGGGAAATTCCGTTGAGACTAAAGTGCAGATAGAGGAAATTTCAGAGCTTATGCGTAATTTTGGAAAATTTAGAAAAACTAAAAAATAAAATTCAGTTTTTGAATTAATTTAATTTGAGAATTTTTGGGAATATAAACAGAAAATATCTTCCAAATAATGTTATAATTATCTAAATCTTTTAGTTATTTGGAAGATATAAGATAAAAGATTCTGTCAACTGAATATTCAGAGTCCAAGCCCAATCAAGCCCTATATAAAGAGACCTAGGGAGGCAGAAAAAGAACTTCACTTCATTCATTCTCATACTCCTCCAATTCATTCATTCACCACTTCTCTCACTTTTCTTTCATCTTGTATTCAACTCCATTCATGGAGAGCTAAGCATCTAAGGCTATTCTGCTTTAATTTCATTATGGATTCTGAGGTTAGATTGAGTTAATGCAATTGTTTATTTTGATTATTGATTTAAGTTGTTCTCTCTATGTCTTTCATCTCTCTATCAAATTAAAAGCAAAGTTTTTTGCATCATAATGTGTTTGAATCTACACTCATATTGATTATATGAGTTCTAGGGTTTCTAGGATTAATTGAGAATCTACTTTGATTTAATTTAGGAACTTTCATATAATTAAATGGTTTTTACTATCAATTGAGAATGTACTTTGATTGGTAGTAATAATTTCAACTATAATCAATTGAGAACTTACTTTGATTGATTAGCTTTTAAGACTGACATGATTAAACACAATATGATTTGATTGAGAATGTACTTTGGTTGAATTCATTGTGAATAATCTAGAAAGGCAATTCTCCAAACATTCTTTTTATTCTTGAGCATTGCATTGCATTCATAAGATTGAAATATTGAAAGGCAATTCCGTATTCATTGAGAGACGACTCAGGGTTACTTTAACCCTATCTACTTTCTCTAACACTACTTGGCAATACTGAAGTTGCCTTGAAAAGTAGTATTAATTTGATAGCTTCAACGACAGCGTATCAGCATCCTATTAATAAGATAACATGCAGTTAAGATGACATCCCCCGATGATGGACAAGAATATGGGCACTAAGCAAAAGGGTATGAGCAATTTCAAAGTGTCTATTTTTTTGTTTTGCTATACCATTTTGCTGCGGTGTATGAGGACAAGTAAACTGATGTAAGATACCATGGGAACTCAAGATGGCAGAAAAGGAGGATGAGAAATACTCTTTTGCATTATCACTGCTTAATATTTTGATTACTTGACCAAATTGATTCTTGATTTCATTCAAAAAGTATGTAAAGATAGCTAACAATTCAAAACAATTTTCATAAGATAAACCCAAGTACATCTTGAATATTCATCAATAAAGGTAACAAAATATCGAAAATCAAAGGAAGAGATACACCTAGGTCCCCATATATCAAAATGGATGATGGAAAAAATAGAATTACATATTGATTGAGACCTTTTAGGAAAGGAAGATCTAACATGTTTTCCTAATTGACATGACTCACATTCTAAGGTTTGGAGACCACTAATGAGGATGACCAAGTCGATCATGTAACACTTTAGGATTAGGAGTAGCAATACAGGACACCCTTGAACGAGATCCAAAATGGTATAATTCACCAGCTTCATATCCTTCTCCAATTTGTCTCCCCGAACCACGTTCCTGTATAACAAAAGATTTATTATCAAAGGTTATTGAACAATTTAACATTTTGGTCAACTGACTTAGGGGAATTAAATTAAAAGGACAATTAGGGACAAAAAGGACAAAGTTGAGATTGAGGGAGGGAGACAAAGAAACATGACCGACTCCTTTGGAGGAAGTTTTAGATCCATTTGCAAGGGTTATGAAATGAGGTTTTTCTCGAAAGAAAATATATGAGAACAAAGAGATATTACCATAAATGTGATCAGAAGCAGCTGAGTCAATTACCCATGAATTTTGACCTTCCATAGATTAAGAAACTCAGGCTGTTGATGTATTGAGAGATTGAGATGGTTGTGCCCCAAGTTGTTAGACTTTAACCTTAAATACTCTTGATGTTCATCCTCAGAAATACTCTTCGAAGTGGAAGTTTGAGTCTTTGAAATATTGGTAGTTTTGGAAGGGAAACCATGTAAGGAGTAACAATTCTCTTGAGTGTGACCCATCCTTTTACAGTATGTGCATTGAGGACATCCCCGACCTCCTCGTCCTCCTCCTCTAATGCCACGTCCTCCTCTTCCTCGTGTAGTAACCATCACAGATAGTTCCACTAGTTCATGTGCTTCTTGAGTTTGAGGTACCGGGACACGCAGAAGGCAAGTGGTCAATGTTTCTATGGAGGGGACCTAATGACTAGTTAGAAGTTGATCTTTAAGATGATCAAAATCGGTATGTAGGGCACGAAGGATCAACACCATGTAAAATTTGTCTAGTTTCTTTTTGATATCCTCTAATGGGTCTGCTTCCAAAAACATCCTGAGTTCTTCAACAATAGATTGGGCTTCAACCATGAAGGACACCATATCATGGTCTGCCATTTTAAGAGATGCAAGCTTGTTCGTAGTGTCATAGAGACGTTGAATATCGTTGGCATAAATGCTTTGGGCTTTCTTCCAAAAGGAGTGACAAGTTTTGAAAGCCCTCAAAGATACAAGAAGTTTGGGTTCCATTGATTTCCATAACAGGCCACACAACTGGAAATCTGCTTGTTTCCACTTATCAGCTTTTTCAGTAGGCACATGACTTCCATCTCGCTCAAGGTAGTCATAATGCCCTTGGCCAATGAACCACATTTCAACGACAGCAGACTATGATAGATAACTTGGAGGTAATTGATGGACTTTCGGAGAAGGAAAGAGTACTGTCAGACGCCATTTCTGAAGAAGATGAATAGTACCAGCGAGGAACAAGAAAACCCTAAGAGTTTAGACGAACGAAATTGTGACAGCGATGGACGACGGTGGCTGACGATGGCGGACGGTGGCCGGCGACGAACGATGGCCGAACGGTGGTCATCGACTGACGACGGTGGCTGGCAGCGGATGGTGGCCGGCGGCGACAGACTGTGGCGCCGGATAGATATTATGACCGCTCTAATACCAACTTGAGAATTAAACTGTAAAGTAATTCTAGAGGGTTTGATTGATCCCTCTCCTAATCTTCTATTTATAAGAATAAATTGATACAAAAGTACACATGATAAATAGGATAATCCTAGACACAATATAATCAAGATAAGGGTAACCTTTGACACAATATAATCATGATAAATAGGATAACCTTTGACATAATATAATCATGATAAACAGAGTAACCATTGACACAATATAATGATGATAAAATAGTATAAATATCCTTAACAAAATTAATAAAAAGTACGATAACAATAATATTTTGAATCACTGTATTGTTAGTCTTTTTCCAAACTTACATCTGAGTCTTTTTTCGAAAGAGAAAAAATATTTTCAAATTTTTAGATTTTATTGTATTGTATATATCATTTTTTAAGTCATTCAATTATGTATTTGCAAACGAAAATCATTT